CCTCCCTCCCTCCCTCCCTCCCTCCCTTCTTCCTTTTCCATCACTGGAGGTTTTTAAGAAGAGATTGGACAGACACTTGTCTGAAATGGTGTAGGGTCTCCTGCTTGACCAGGGGGCTGGACTAGAAGACCTCTAAGGTCCCTTCCAACTCCATTATTCTGAATATCAATAAAGGAAAATATTTGTATCTTGGGGTTGACATGAGGGGTCCTTGGCGCTCTCTGAGCTTGGTGATTTTCTTGCAGACATTTCATGTCCCAAACTAAGTAACCTCACCAGTTCCTTGTTTTTGAGGGTTCCCCAAAGCAAACAGGCCTTTGGATGTCCCAAAGGAGCTTTTTTTTCCCCCAGGAGGCAACTAGACTTTCTTCTTCTTTTTCTTTGAAGACATTTCGCTTCTAATCCCAAGAAGCTTCTTCAGCTCTGACTGGATAGCCTTTATTTATCCTTCCCTTAGGATAAATAAATCCATCAGATTTATCCTTCCATCCATCCAAACGGACCTTTAGATGTTATAAAGTTAAAAGGACACACCAGGCAGACAGCAAAATGTTCCTGACGTCGACAGAAAGATATTTATGTACCTGAAAGGAAAATATAAAAATAGGTAAATGCACATACCTGCCGGCAATCTGAGGTGAGAAGGATCGTAATTCAACCAGCTCAGCTCTCTGCCCTATTCTGGGCGGGAGGATTTTAACTTCAGAATAGAATAACAGAGTTGGAAGGGACCTTGAGGTCTTCTAGTCCAGCCCTCTGCACCAGCAGTACCATTCTGGACAGGAGAATACCCAATCTCTTCTTCAAACAAAACCTCCAGTGACCTTGGAGTTATCCTTAAGTTGAACTCGTACAAGCTGCAATCCTGTAGATTTCCTCTTTTTTTTTCTTCCCAACCATAGTATAGAAATATTTTGCCACTAGGATCTGTCCAAATATTATTATTATTTTTCCAGTCCAACCTTCAAACACCTTTTAAACCTCAATCCTGCCTCTCCTTTCACAGAATGGATGAGAATTACAACCTTCTTCCCCACGGGGTCAATTTCCAGGATGCGATATTTCCGGACACGCAGGAAAACCGGCAGATCTTCTCAAACCTTTTCCAATTTTCCAACTGCAGTCAAGGGCTCCATGCTCTCATGTTCTCCAGCGACTGGGAGACCCAAGAGGACCACAGGGTAAGCCTCTCCCTGGGTGTCATGCCCTTGTTGGAGTCTGATTACGAGAGAGAGGTGGAACAGCTGACAGGGAGTGGGAGTGTGGCTCCGGTGGCTGTGGACGAAATGAGGGAAGGGCACAGTCCGGTTGGGCCTTCGGACCCAGGGCCACCTCCTCTTCATCCTCGGGCACGCAGGGAGGAACAGAGAGGGGAGCAATGTGGCTTACAGGGGGAGAAAAGGGCCCTGATCCCTTTCATTAGATGCAGCTGGGAGAACAGGAGATAAGGGCATTTGCACACAGCTCCTTGCTGGAAGCAAAGCGTGCATCATCTTGGTTGAGACTGATCTGGGTTTTGGTGTCCTTCCAACTGTGGGTGCTGCGTTATCCTTTGAAAGTCTGCAATTTATTATCCTGGCCTGTCGTGCTTATTACTTCTGTGTGGTTTGGGTTGGTTTTTTTTAATTTCTAATTTATCTGTACTTTGGGTTCGGATGCATTTCTTCCCTTCGTAGACTGTTTTTTGGAAGAGTTTGATCTCCAGCTAAGGATAACTGGACATTGGGGGCCAAGTTGGAGGCATTAAAGGGAATTTGTCTACTTCTGTGCCTTTGTTATTTTTGTGCCACGCTCTGGGTCATCACACTGGGTTTATTGTTCTTCCCAGGAACCAGTTATCAAACAGAAGATTGTTTGATGCAAGTTTCTTTTCAGTAGTATGAGATTCTCCATCCTCCAGGTCATGGTTGTCCTAAAAATGCTTCCCCCCCCCAAAGGCAACTGGACTTTGTTTTTCCTTGAAGAAGTTTCACTTCTCATCCTAGAAGCTTCTTCAGTTCGGGGTGAATAGTGGAGGATGGTAGAACTGAAGAGGATTCTTGGACGAGAAGCAAAACGTCTTCAATCAAAAACAGAGTCCAGTTGCCTTTTCCAAAAGCACCTTTGGGGTTTTTTAGCTGTATATTTGAGGGGAAAAAAATCATAGTAAGTCTTCAGTGTATCTGACTGAAGAAAAGATCTTGCACTGGGATCTTTGTATGTTTTATGGTTTCCTTCCTGCTACGTGGCAGCGCTGTTCAGAGTTTTGCAGCATAAATTCAATACCAGAAAAGTAAGCACAGATGACTGAGGTTTCATTTAACTTCTTTATAAACATATAAAGTAAATTTTACACTACCAGTTGTAGATTTTCTCCAACATGGAGCAAATTCAAACGGAAGCAGACATGTTACAGGTTCAGGGCAGAACAGCAACTCAACTTCAGCAGATGAGCAAGCCAGTTAGTTTCTCTTTCAATAGACTCAGAAAACAGAGCTGCAGAGCTTAACATAGAGCCACGCCTAGGCTACTTCTAGTTTCAGTTTCCAAACAGTCCTCATTGGCTGACCTTGTTACCATGCTCTGTTCCAGCTCATGAATATACTCTGACAGGCACCGATATGACTTTGAGGATGTCGATTGCTAACCAATTTTAATCCACATGTTTCCACAGAGAGATTATTTGCAGGGACTCCTGTAATCTTTGTTCTCTTTTTGTATTTACTACCTCAAGTAAAAACAGCCAGTCCTCAACTTACAATAGTTTGAACAGTTCAAACTTAAAACAATGCTGAAATAAGTGACTTATGACCATTTTTCACACCTATGACAATTGCCACGTCCTCACGATCATATGATCAAAATTCAGAGGCTTGCCAATTGACTCATACTTATGATGGTGGCATTTTCCTGGGGTCCACCTTTGCGACCATCCGATGAGCAAAGTTGATGGGGAAAGCCAGATTTACATAGCAACCGTGTAACTAACTTAATAATGGCATGATTCCGCTAACAACCGTGGCAAGAAAAGGTTGTAAAACGAGACAAAGCTCACTTAACAAGAGTCTCACCCAGCGAGGAAAATTTTGGGCTCAGTTGGGAGGGGTCATAAGTCAAGGACTAACCATAGGGGTTTTCTAGTACTTTTAGTACCTTTTTCTTTTTTTGCATTTTTTAGTAGAAGAAAAAAGAGGGTGGGGATACTTATTTGCAAAACTGCATTTATTCCAAATGAATCCCCACCTCTCGTTTACATGGTAGCTTTCGTGCAAAAGGCCACTTTGCATTGTATTGAAAAATGTCTGACTTAAGAGACTAAAAAAAATGGATGCTTAAATATATATATATCTTAAAAAATAAACATTATTCTGGTCTGAGATGAGAATAAAAGATTGATTGTTTAAAAAAACAAACCCTTGTATGGGAGGTCTCAAGGAGAAATCCTGCTGACACAGTTTTAGTCATGGAATTACCTTGTTTCATTCCCTGGATTTTGCAGAAAAACCAAGATGTTGTCTTCCGTCTACACCCTTCCTGTGTTGACTTGTTGCATGTTCTTTATTACTAGTAAACGCTGGAATAAATGCATGAATAGAATTTCATAGAATTATGGGGTTGGGAGATCATCCAGACCAACTTTCTACTCAGTGTAGGGTCAATTAGATCCTCTTTGGCTGCAGCCTAAATTTGAAGCTGTCCAGAGGTTGAAGGACATATAACTCAAGGCTCTTCAAACTTGGCAAGTTTAACACTTGTGGACTTCAACTCCCAGAATTCCTGAGCTAATATGACTGGAGGAGGAATTCTGGGAGTTGAAGTCCACAAATCTTAAAGCTCTCAAGTTTGAAGACCCTGATATAACTTCATGGATCGACTTGTTCCACTGTCTGAGGCCTTGTAGAGCAGGAGTCTCCAAACTTAGCCACTTTAAGACTTGTGGACTTCAACTTCCAGAATTCCCCAGCCAAGCTGCTAGGTCATAAGTCACTTTTTTCAGTGCCATTGTAACTTTGAATGGTCACTCCACACAAGCAAAGTACCAGCAAAGGAGGGGGAAAAAACTCCAGAGACGTTCCAGAGACAGGAAATCTACTCCTGCCCAGAATGTAATAAGGGTTAACGGAGAGGCAGTTTCCGTAAGCAACACCAGAATGTTTCCTTCCTGCCTTCCTTACAGGATTAGCCCAGTAATTTCTTCTAACAACCGGTTCTCCGAACTGCTTAGAATGTTAACAACCGGTTCCACCAATTCTAGTAGAATCCCACCCCTGCTTCCAACTCTGTTATTCTGTTCTATCCTAATTTATAACTATTTATAACTTGTCTTTTTGATAAGCTAAGCATATCATTGCCAGCTCCTCTAGCTATTTTTAAGCATTTAAACCAAAAAAACAACAGTACTATCCAACAGATTAATTCATTATTAAATCATACCATTAGAGCAAACATCAATTATAACACCGAATCCCCCTTTCTTGAGATGCTAAATTAACACACACATCACCCCACTGCATCACCTATTCATTTCATCATGTCATAGCAATGTATCGAACTCTGCATAAAAATAAAAGTCCCTTCTTCTAACACTCCCTCCCCCCAAAAGAAAACAGTGTGGAATCCTTGCTATAAATACCTTGTGTTTTTTTTTAAATTAGGAGTGGAAAAAATCCTTCTCAAAAATGGATAAATTGCTCCTGTCTCGCACTTAGAACTTTGATAGTCAAACTTCCTTTAGCTATTTCTGAGACGGCTCGATATCTTTCATCTAAATTCACTCCAAATTTCACTCCAAATTCACTCCAAATTCACTCCAAATTCACTCCAAATTTCTCACTTTTTGAACTGGGATAGTATATATATATATATTATATATATACTATATATATTGCATTTTTCCCCAAGAATACAATTCTCTTTTACATTCTTTACAATACTATGGCATAGACGTTACACATACGCTTACACGCGTATATACTTTTAATCCTTATTTCTATTTTCTAACCATCTATATACCATTTATCCCATACGGCATAATATTCTGATTTTTCTCTGTCTTTCATCTCTAAAGCAAGCTTGTTCATCTCTGCACAGTCCAACACTATCTTTATTATCATTTCCTTGGAAGGGGTTCGATCCAATTTCCAACTTGGTGTAAAGGCAATTCTAGCCACTGTCGCTATATGTAGTATAATATATTCAGCCTTTTTACTAAATTCTCCTCTAATTATTCCTAATAAAAAGAATTCAGGTTTTAACTCTATTCGAAGACTTGTTGTTTCCTGTAACCAGCTGAACTGGGATAGTCTTAATGGGACACACAAGAAGTCTTCCCTTGACTTCTTTGTGTTGGGAACTGTTTGGGCAGAAATATGTACCCTGTCTTTGTAGAAGAATCACAGTGTCGTCGATCTAAAGTTTACTATTCTTGGCTGCTCTGGCATAGTTGAAACTTCTCCCAAGGGAGAATCCCATGGCAAAGATTTCATTCCATGATCCCTGACCCCTTTCTTGGGCTCGCTTCAAGTCAAGGCCATTAACTATTCCAGAAGCTTTTGAAGAGCAGTTGTCCAAAATCAAAGTGCTGCCAATGGAAACTGAGAAGTAAAATGCATTACAGACTAAGAAACAGCTGTCCTGGTCCTCCCTCCGGCCTTTTGCACCTGTGTGTAAAGCAACGAGGCTCTAAGGAGCTATATTTCAATAGAATTTTCTGCCACTTATTTGCAAATCTTCAAGCTCCTTTTTCCTTAAACATGCAAACATTCGTCACATCTTTTTTCCCCATCACAGAGATGCCACACAGGCCCTTTGTGAGCAAGGCTTCCTGCTGGTTGTTTGTTAAGGAATTCTAGTTCATTCATTCATGGTGGATTTGGAGGTTCTGATGCGTGATTTATCCTTGTATTTTAATTTGGAGAGTCTCTTGATTGGGTTTTTTTTTTAATTTGCTTGCCACTCAAGTGACTTGCTGAGATTCAGAATCTGAAAAGAGTTGGAAGGGATCCTGGAGGTCTTCTAGTCCAATCCCTTGCTCAAGTAGGAGACCCTATACCAAGGGTCTTCCAACTTGGCAAGTTTAAGACTGGTGGACTTCAACACCCAGAATTCATGAGCTAACATGACTGGAGGAGGAGGAATTCTGGGAGTTGGAAGTCCACCAGTCTCAAAGCTGTCAAGTTTGAAGACCCATGAGCTAATCTAT